GTTATCTGTTTTCAAGCACCCCTGCGATCTACAGATGAACTTTTCTCATTTTTCGATACTGGTGTGCTGCGTTTTCCTTGAAGATGGAACCCACAAATGGCTGAGAAATACCCTATGACAGCCCAAGATTAGAAGGTCAATCTATTGAAAAGTAACGTCACCGCATCATTACTAGCTGAATGGCCTGGGCGATTGGCGGACATTAACTGTGAAGTTCGTTCTTCAGGAGGCACTTAAGGATAGTCACCAGTTCCTTGGCTTGATTTTCTCAACAACTCTTGGCACCCATCCTCTGCACAACTGAACCGGCATCCAAAGTCCACATTTGTGGTCGACCGTCGTGACACTCACCGGCAAGCACGCGGGTCAAGGGCAATGTGGGAATCCGAAAGGCGTATGAACTGGTCAACCAGTCACCGGCTCCCAGAGGATCACGGACTCCATACTACACCCCACTGCCTTATAGGTCGGGTTCTTTAACCAAAGTTTCCGGGCAGGGATCTCCAGGAAAAGCCTCCACTTCGTCCTTGTGGGTAGTACCACAACCACACTCTAATCACATATGTATGCATTCACACGTTTCGGACTCTCTCCCTCATGCAATTTCTCCTCAAACTATTCCTGCACCGTTCCCACTCGCCCCTCACACAACGACCCCATTTTTTCCGCCGTACGTTCTATCTCAAATGGTTCCACTGACGTAAGTTAATGTTTTAGCTCGCCACTATCCTCCTCGATTTCTATCTCAATAGTGCTGTCACTCGGAGTCTACCAATTTATTCCTCTGAAATCATTCTGCGTACAAACTGGCTTCGTTCAACATAAGAAATCTAATGCACATAGGACAACAAGCAGGTTCGGCTCGTACGCTCGAAAGTCTAGAGGTTGATGTATGTTACCTCTCGGAAACACTCATTCAGTACAGTGTTCCTTAGCGTTCCAGTCCGCCCTTTATTTGCTCTTTACACTACTAATTACCTTTTTTGTATTTCTATGTCTATTACTTTTCGGATATTTTCTGATGACCATTGAGAATAGAGTATGATAATAGAAATACAAACCAGGTCGTCGACAGGAACCACAATCTGGTTCATTGTGTATACAATAATGGTACTCAAATAAAATCTGAGTAGTACCTCTCTAATCTAAACTCTCCTATCTACTGCAAGCCATTGCAGTGTCAACTTTTCTGTAGAATTCAGGTCGTTTTTGTGTTCGGTAAACCTAATGCACACCATTTTGGTCTATTAATGGTTTCGACCTTGCTTCGTGCTATTGGTGCAACCGATCGAGTTGATTTGCTATCTGACGGTGAAAACAAATCATCAGCGTTGAAGCTAAGGAGATTTATTTACCCATTTTTAACCACCAAGTATTATTCCTGTAGCGGCTCTTGTGTATCATAAGGAAGGAGCACTCCTCCTGTTTACGATGGAGTCAAGCGAATGAAAGACGTTGCAGAAAGTTGTTCCTCTGCAAAAAAATGAGATGCTCCGTAAAGTTATTGTTTACAGCGGGTGCACATTACATACATAAAGACAAAAAAGGTATTGTAGAGGGGGTGGGGTGGGTTCAAGGACGGAATGTGGGCAAATAATGGTTCGGCCGTGAGGAAAGCTGAGCAAGAGTATTGAATGTGAAGTAGACAGCTTCTTCGATGCCTAATTTAGAACGGCCCAGCCGCAAACATGACACAGTGTCAAATAATATTCTAGTCCATATGAACTTCAGTCTGCGTGTACGACGAGATACTTAGGGGTAAAATATGGGGACAGGGCATAAAAGAGGGGCGGGTGGGATGGAGGTGAGAGTGCGTTAACGCAGCTCAACACCTACCGGGATACATTGCAATTGAGGCGATTAGTCGCGATTGTCTTTCACTCGTACACACACACGCACAGTTACTTCAGTTTGAGCTGGATGGTTGATTGTTAAGTTCATGGGACCGTTCGATTAGGTAGGTTGGACAATTGACACAGTGTACCACGGGCTTGTTCCAGAACAATATTTATTTTTATCAAAATCGATCAGTTTTCCGGTTTTTTTTCAACAAATTATGTTGGTCTGCTTCACTCGTAAAGAATGTGACGTTTAACTGGGTTGGGGCCATTATAACTTTGTGTTTTCAACTAAGTAACGTGAAATTTCGCGACAGATTTTCAAGTGACTTTCACGAACTGTAGCAGCCTCCTCCAACACAGTCCATGTAAGCGCCACTTCCTCTGGGGCCAGAATCTGCAGAGGAGAAGAGAAAAGGAAATTGAATACGCCCATTGGAGAATGAACGAACTCGTCAGGTGAGACGTACACTACTAATCAATTGTACTAATATAGTTCACTTCCGAAACATGTTGACATGGTCACAGAACTGTTTTATCAGCTAGAGAGTTATAGGGATATACAACTCTTATTTAGGGTCGGAGCATGAGTCAGATCGGGATGCATCGATCCTGATGGTTGTTTCTTTAAATTCCCACCGTCCATTGGAGGGGGGATGTTCCGCTGCTTAAAATCAACATACTTCGTGACCATCGTTTGCTTTTGTCAAAACTCACTGAACCCCAGATATGTGGATTCTACAGGAATACGATTTCCACTCGGTTTACGGTTTATTCATTTAATAATGAACTGCCATTCTAGATTTCCTGGTGTAGTCCTTTCAAGTTGCTTTGAATTTAGTAAGTAAACCTTATCAACCTAATCTCCGAATTGTGCGGAAGAGGGTACAGTGAATATTACATTCTGCTTAGTCCTCATGAATACGGTTCTTGTTCCTATGTAAATAATGCACTCCCTTGAAATATTTTTTTTGTTATCATAGTGGGAAACCACGTATGCTACACAGTGGGATTTTCGGTGGAGTATTTTCAATCTTCTCAATCGGATCACAAATATCGTCACCATTGACCTTGAGTCATGCCACATTGCGAAAAATGATGCTAGTACTACCATATGAAAATACGTTGTCTGAGGCAGTAGCGTTATAGCGACAAAAATGGTTTGAATTTCAAACGTGTATCCAGGCCTGAATGCACGAGAGTATTTTCTAGTGAACGATGGATGTGTTTGATTTAGACTATACAGAACACTAGGTACACGTGATCACTAGGGCGAACCACTTACTCGAAGTACCAACGATGGATCGGTAAGTTCCATATCAAAATGCAAATGGACGATGGTCGGCTCGATCCAAGCATTCTCGGTATTGATCATGTCATGTACGAAACCATAGACAATCTGTGGATGTAGAGGGAACAAGATGAGCTCCTTATGAACGTCACTGACCACGAAAAATACGACTTGATAGACAATAACATTTTCGTTGCCGTATGGATGAAAAAATATATTTGAAATGTCCTCGCATACTTCGTTAGACTTTTCAGTAAAGGAACACAAACCAGTTATTTTTGCTCTCCGTTTTTAAGTACGCATCTATTGAGGAGAGTAGTTTACCTAATCTCATTTGGCTAGAATGGGAACATATTGGAATGTGCAAAGTTGTGCTGTCCTGCAGTTCAAAAGAAGCAGATAATCAAAGACTAACCAAAACAAGATGAATGGAATAATTCTCGAAGTTCAAACCAAATCGTGAAATAAAGTTTTGACACATACGCGGTTATTTAGTGGTATAAAAGCAAATGATGTCATTTTGAATAAACCTGATTTCAATGAAATAGTCATGAGACAAGTGAATCACAGTTAACCAGTACCAAGAAAAATCGATCAGCAAGGCTATAGTATACATGAGCTTCGAATCACTAACCGAAGGCTTACACCGCTCAGTCGTTGCTGTAATATGATCCATCGGGACACAGAAAGCTTAAAATCTCTGCGATAAATTTTCGTTTATTCCGAGGAGATTTAAATAAGAACGTAACTGGGTGATGTGTTTTCGTGGACGAAACAATAATTAATTTGCCAAGTTCCTGTACATGTCATTGAAACGCAACACCTATTAGCACCTAGTAGCGTCTTTGTTTATTCATTTAAATAGAGAACTATTTTTTCTTCCTTGTCCTTCTCGGATTAAAGATGAAGAGAGCTATAAATTACTTTCGGGTGATTTATACTTCAATTTAATGATATTGTTCTCAAAGGGTATGGTGCCGATAAGAGATTTGTGAAATTTCATTTTCTTCTACTGGCACAATAAATTTAGTTTTACTTTCAGTATTTACAACCATTAACCATGGACATTCATGTGCCGATTTTGTTTACTGACTCATTACTATCCGTTTGAATAAAAGAGCAGAAGGAACAGTAGTAGTAGTAGTAGTAGTAGTAGTAGTAGTAGTAGTAGTAGTAGTAGTAGTAGT